GCAAACAAGCATATGCACATCCATATTCATTACAGCACAATTCACTATATCAAAGAGATGGAAACAACCTAAACACCCATCAACAGATGAATGGATCACCAAATTATGGTACATTCACACAATGGAATACTATGCTACATTAAAGAACAATGAAGGATACAAAATCATCTCACAATGTGGATGAACCTGGAGGATATTATGCTGAGTGAAATAAGTCAACCACAGAAGGACAAATATTGTATGAGCCCATTATTGTAAAAAGTCAAGGAAAGGTTTGCTCAGGAAAAGAAACTCACTTTGTTGGTTACCAGGGATGGGAGGGAAGGGGAGAGAAATTTTTGGAACTAGTTGGGGGTCACATGTTGATTTAGGTGAAAAGAGGGATGGTATGGAAAGAGTCTATGACCAACGTGATGACATTGGGAAAAGGAAGGACACTGAAACATGCACATAAGATACAGACAACAGAGGCAAATACCAGTACATGCACAATACTGCATTACTACTAACACCAAGCACCAGGCTACGGATAAATGCATAGACAGGTGAGAAGATCAGTTGTCCCGTAGGACAACAGGAATGTACCCTAGACCAAGGATAGATTTGGCTGAAGATAATCTTACTTGTGCTACAAAATTAGGTACATATATCACAGAAGCAACAGAAAACAGAGTTGGAGTAACTTCTCAGAGACCCAAACACCTTGAGAGAGAGAATCAGCAGGCCTGTGGACTCGGGACCATGGTCTTGGGGGACATCATGCTCAATTGGCACAACATAGTACATAAAAGTCTTGTTCTACAACCTACTTTGGTGAGTAGCAACTGGGGTCTTCAAAGCCTTTAAGTGGCCATCTAAGATGCAACTATTGGTCTCCTCTTATCTGAAGCAAAGAAGAGTGAAGAAAATCAAAGGCATCTGGAAATAATTAGTCCAAGGATAAGATGCACCACAAACACCTCGGCCTTCATGACCCTGAGATCAGAAGAACTAGATGATGCCCAGCTACCAATGCCAACCACTCGAAAAGGGATCAAAACTGGAGATCCTAGATAGACTGGGAGGAAAAATATGGAACAAAATTTAAAAACACAAAGTGACCAGAATTACTGGTTGGGTAGAGACTGGTAGAACCCCCAAGACTACGGCCCAGGTTATCCTTCGGGCTTAGAAATGGACTCACTTCCATAGATAGGCTCTCAACCCAACAGTAGAAAGACTTACATGCAGAACACCTATCCCAGGGTGATGCACCCACCTACTCTAGGTAGATGCACCCCTTAGATCAATCAGCCATGAGATACCAGAGGGGCAGCATCACATAGAGGGAAAGCTGGACAGACAAGAACACATAGTTAAGAAGGGCATGAGGAGTGAGTAGTCACAGGGAAGGGAGGGGAGGAGAGTTTTTATGTTTGGGGATGGTAATCAGTGCATGAAACCACATATGCACAAACCGTTGAATGTAAAACAAATTTGCTTTGGGAAAAAAAAGAACAGTAAATTACTTAATATGGCCCTTCTAGCCATAGTCTTTGTAACTCTTACCAAATGATGAGTGGGACTATTCGAATGAGGTGCTTGTGGCTCACCAAGAGGATTGGATAGCTTGCTAATAATGTAAATAAGGTACATGGCACCCTTGTGGGGGTGGGGCCATGTAAATAAGGTATATGGAATCTTAACAAGGGCATTGATCAGTTTTGCCATTCTGCTAGGCTTAAAATGAACTATCCCAGAGGCAGATAGGGAAGACCTTATGACCACCAAGAAAGAAGAATAGCTAGGAATGAAGTGTATCCTTGAGACCCAGGATCCCTGCACTGAGAGCCTCCGAGATCTAGGAGACAGGGAAAGAGAGCTATAACATCAGAGATGGCTAGAAACAGAGGGAGGCAGCAGCAGAAAAATGGTGGCAGCAGAAGCAACAGAACCAGGAGACCAGCAGGAGATGGGATGGAGCGTGTCCCACCCCACAGAGCAAGTAAGCTGAGTGCCTTCTAGCAAGAGGCTTGATAGTGAAGTGGAGTGCCTCCAAGTACTTGGCAAAGCTTTCCTCACTTACCCACAAAGTGAGAGAGCTGAGCACCTTTGGGTCAAGCCTTACTGGTGGAATGGGGTGCACCTAGGCACTGATCAGAAGGGCTCAAAGAGCTTTGTAACACTTGCCCAAGCAGGGCAGAGGCTGGGCCTGAGAGGCGAAAGGCTGGAGAGAAGCCTACCTCGAGGCACAGCTGAGAAGAAGCTCTCTTAAGGGAAGAACTGTATCCTGAGTCACTTCTGATCCTCAGTTGTAATCTGCTACTTACTAATAAACCCTTAACTGTAAGTATGGTGTGTAAGTTCTGTTTGGCCATTGCAATAAATTATTGAACTCAGCAGAGAAGTAGAGTGGCGTGGAAGGGATAGCTGGTGTCAGAATTGGTGAGAAGATTGGAGGGTAAAGGCATGTCAGACCAACACTTTGTAGGAATCTGCTTGGGGCTGATGCTGATGGTGATTCTTTTTCCCCCTCATGAAGTTAGAGGAGCTTAGACACTGCTGTCATGCCATTTTTACACCAATGTAGGAAAAAGATATTTATACAGATAACTCAAAAGTAGAATGAACCAAGGTAATGGAAACCCAGGACAGGAGTTAATTCTATAGGGGGTGAGGGGCAATTTAGGACTCTGATTTTTAAACTCTAGTCCCAGGACCAGTAGCATGGGCTACTGGGACAATGTTAAACCAAACCAAACTCACTGCCAACGAGTCAATTGCAATTCATAGTGACCCCTCCTTGTGTTTCTGAGGCAGCATCTCTACAGAAGTAGATTGCCCCATCTTCCTTCCAAGGAGCAGTTAGTGGGTTTGAACTGCCAGCCTGCTGGTTAGTAGTCCAATGCCTTAAGTACTGTGCCATCAGAGCTCCCAATATGCAAACTCTTGGACCCTACCCAGACTTACTGAATTAGAAGATCAAGGGGGTGGGCACGCAGCAGTGTGTTTTAATAAGCCTCCATGTGATTCTGCTGCAAGCTAAAGTTTGACAATTGCTGATCTAGAAAAACTTCACAGAGACTACATGTGAATTGGAGCTTAGAGAATTAATATATCACCTGATGGAGAAGGGAAAGAGGCACTCTATGAGGCAGACTACGATGAATAAAAGTATGGAGATGTAAAAGTGAAATATATAAACATGTTGGAGAAATAGTGCATAATCAGGAGTGGTGAAGGGAAGGGTGAGAAATACAGCCAGACATGTGGATTGGGGCCACATTATGTAGAGCCTCAAATGTTATACTATGGAGTTTAGACTTAAAATTTTTTTTTCTTATGCCTGTAAAATAAAGTACAGGAGTGGCATGGTCAGAACTACATTTTAGAGCTATATGTAGGCTTGATCTACAATAACGTTGATCATAAGGCTATTAACATTGCCCTGACAAAAAATAAGAGGTAAACAATGTCAGTAGAATTGGAATGGAGAGGAGGGGAAAGTATAATAAGCATTTTGAAAATAGGATAAAGAAATTGTATTGAGTTCAAGACTACCAGCTCCAGGGCCAAAATACCTACCTCTGACACTTTTTAGCTGTGTAATTTTGGGAATTACAGCCCTGACTCTGTGTCTCTGTTTTCTCATCCATATAAAAGAAATTATAATAATAATTTCTACTTCATAGGTTTACTGTGAATTTAAATGAATTAATAAACACAAAGTGCCTGTTATATAGTAAGCATCCAATAAATACCGTGCGTGCGTGTGTGTTTTATACTAGATAGTGTGTGTAAAATTTCTAGCTCAGGTTTGAAGATGATACCATGATGAAATGAGTTCAGAACATACTGCATTTCAAATATCTGGAAGATCCTTTCTGTTCATTTTTCTGTATCTCAATTTTTCCCTTTTAACAATTGCATCAGACACTTGGGGTGGATCCACAAAACTGGTGGGCAAGTGAAATGAGCATAGGTGAAAATGTGATCAGAGGGAGATGCAAAGAGTACCATAAAGATGTTTACCTATGTTTTATTGACTATGCAAAGGCATTCAGCTGTGTGGATCATAATAAATTACAGACAACATTGAGAAGAATGGAAATTCCAGAACACTTAATTGTGCTCACGTAGAACCTGTACATAGACCAAGAAGCAGATGTTAGAACAGAATAAGGTTATAATGCACAGTTTAAAATCAGCAAAAGTGTGCTGAAGGTTGTATCCTTTTCACTGTACATATTCAATCTGTATGATGAGCAAATAATCCAAGAAGCTGGACTACATTAAGAAGAACACAGTCCCAAGACTGTAGGAAGAATTATTAACAACCTACACTGTGCAGATAATATAACCTTGCCTGCTGAAAAGTGAAAAGAACATGAAGCACTAACTGATGAAGATCAAAGACTATAGCTTCAAATGGATTATACCTCAACATAAAGAAAATAAAAATCCTCACAACTGGACCAATAAGCAACATCATGATAAAGGGAGAAATTATTAAAGTTGTCAAGAATTTCATTTTACTTGGATTCACAATCAATGCCCATGGAAACAGCAGTCAAGAAATTAAATGAGGTGACTTTGAAGAGGGGCTTGGAGGAGGCGGGCCTGAAGCGAGTAAGAGGGTTAAGGCAGTAGGGACGTTGGGCTTTAAGGAGGTGGCCAAAGGGGCCTTGGGAGGTTAGGTCTGAGGGAGCAGGGAACTGGCCTGTGGCATAAAGGAAGAGGCCAGGGCCTCGGGATCCCCAGCAACCCCAAGACAGGCACCCGAACAGCTGCCATGCAAACGGCCTCGAGGGTGTGTCCAGTTGATGAGAAGTGGGGATGAGAAGCCACGCCCAGCAGAGGGGGCAGTCCCGGAAGTGTGTCAGCCTCGCCTCCTTGAAGATGAGTCTCTTGGCCGTGGCCACTGCCATTTTGTGAATTGGTACCATCTGTGCGGGAAGCAGTCTTGACATGGCACTGTTCACCTACCGGGAGGCAAACTGGCAGCCCTGAGTGTCACAGTCATGCCTGCTGGACCCGTGCAGGCGGTGCCTCCTCCGCCGCCCGTGGCCATCAAGCCCAAACAGTCAACAGAAGAAGAAGCATCCTCAAAGGAAGATTCTACCCCATCCAGGCCAGTGGTGGGGATCATTTACCCTCCTCCAGAGGTCAGGAACATTGTCAACAAGACTGCCTCCTTTGTGGCCAGAAATGGGCCTGAATTTGAAGCTAGGATATGACAAAACGAGATCAACAACCCCAAGTTCAACTTTCTGAACCCCAGTGACCCTTATCATGTATACTACCACCACAAGGTCAGCGAGTTCAAGGAGGGGAAGGCTCAGGAGCCCTCGGCTGCCATCCCCAAGGTCATGCAGCAGCAGCAGTAGCAAGCCACCCAGCAGCAGCTGCCCCAAAAGGTCCAAGCCCAGGTGATCCAAGAGACCATTGTGCCCAAAGAGCCCCCTCCTGAGTTTGAGTTTGTTGCGGATCCCCCCTCCATCTCAGCCTTTGACCTGGATGTGGTGAAGCAGACGGCTCGGTTTGTGGCTTGGAATGGGCGCCAGTTTCTGACACAACTGATGCAGAAAGAACAGCGCAACTACCAGTTTGACTTTCTTTGCCCGCAGCACAGCCTCTTCAACTACTTTACAAAGCTGGTGGAGCAGTACACCAAGATATTTATTCCACCTAAAGGCTTACTTGCAAAGCCCAAAAAAGAAGCGGAGAATCCCCGTGAAGTTCTGGATCAGGTGTGCTACTGAGTGGAGCGGGCCAAGTTACAGGAGCAGGAGAGGAAGAAGGAGGAAGAGGAGAAGGAGAAAGAGCGGGTGGCCTATGCTCAGATCGACTGGCATGATTTTGTCATGGTGGAAACAATGGATTTCCAGCCCAATGAACAAGGGAACTTCCCTCCTCCCACCACCCCCGAGGAGCTGGGGTCCTGCATCCTCATTCAGGAACGCTATGAGAAGTTTGGGGAGAGCGAGGAGGTTGAGATGGAGGTCGAGTCTGATGAGGAGGACGAGAAACAGGAGAAGGCAGAGGAGCCTCCTTCCCAGCTTGACCAGGACACCCAAGTGCAGGACATGGATGAGGGTTCAGATGATGAAGAAGAAGGGCAGAAAGTGCCCCCACCCCCAGAGACACCCATGCCTCTGCCTCTGCCCCCAACTCCAGACCAGGTTATTGTCCGCAAGGACTATGACCCCAAAGCTTCCAAGCCATTGCCTCCAGCCCGCGCCCCTGATGAGTATCTCGTATCCCCCATTACTGGGGAGAAAATCCCTGCCAGCAAAATGCAGGAGCACATGCTCATTGGGCTGCTCGACCCCCGCTGGCTGGAGCAGCGGGACCGCTCCATCCGCTAGAAACAGAGCGATGATGAGGTGTATGCACCAGGCCTGGATATCGAGAGCAGCTTGAAACAGTTGGCTGAGCGCCGTACTGATATCTTCAGTGTGGAAGAAACTGCCATCGGTAAGAAGATTGGTAAGGAGGAGATCCAGAAGCCAGAGGAAAAGGTGACTTGGGATGGCCACTCAGGCAGCATGGCCTGAACCCAGCAGGCTGCCCAGGCCAATATCACCCTCCAAGAGCAGATTGAAGCCATTCACAAGGCCAAAGGACTGGTGCCAGAAGATGACACCAAAGAGAAGATTGGGCCCAGCAAACCCAATGAAATCCCCCAGCAGCTACCACCTCCATCCTCAGCCACCAACATCCCCAGCTCAGCCCCACCCATCACCTCAGTGCCGCCTCCAGTCCGCACCACAGTGGTGTCTGCCGTGCCCGTCATGCCCTGGCCCCCAATGGCATCTGTGGTCTGCTTGCCCCCAGGCTCTATGATTGCCCCCATGCTGCCCATTATCCACGCGCCCAGGATCAACGTGGTGCCCATGCCTCCCTCAGCCCCACCTATTATGGCGCCCCTCCCACCCCCCATGATTGTGCCAACAGCCTTTGTGCCTGCTCCCCCTGTGGCACCGGTCCCAGCTCCGGCCCCAATGCCCCCTGTCCACCCTCTGCCTCCAATGGAAGATGAGCCTACCTCTAAGAAACGGAAGACGGAAGACAGCCTCATGCCTGAGGAGGAGTTCCTGCGCAGAAACGAAGGTCCAGTGTCCATCAAAGTCCAGGTACCCAACATGCAAGATAAGACAGAATGGCAACTAAATGGGCAGGTGCTGGTTTTCACCCTCCCGCTCACAGACCAGGTCTCCGTCATCAAGGTGAAGATTCACGAAGCCACAGGCATGCCTGCAGGGAAACAGAAGCTGCAATATGAGGGCATCTTCATCAAGGATTCCAACTTACTGGCATACTATAACATGGCTAATGGTGCCATCATCCACCTGGCCCTCAAGGAGAGAGGCGGGAGGAAGAAGTAGAAGAGAGAAACCTGCTGTCAGGTCCCAGCCACTGCCATTTACGTCTCCTGTCCCCGACCCCCTACCCCAAACCCAGGAGGCTCACCTGGGACCTTAGGCCCTGGCTGTGCACTTGTTTCTTCTTACTCTGTGTGGGAGTTCAGATTGACCCAGCAGAGTTTCATTCTGTCTGCCACTTCCCCGTTGGTAAGTATAACAGGACTTTCTATACCACTCTCCTTCCCAGTGGTTTCTGGAACCCTGTGTGTCAGTTGTGAATGGGAGGGGTTAGTTTCTTCAGGATGCCTATTAGGAAATGAGAGCCCAGGCTTGACCCATGGGATGGTTTTATAGTGCCAGGTAGCACTGGGTTGAAGGACTATGATTGTAAACATCATTAATTACTTTGTATCTTGCCATGGGCTGTTAATAAACCTCTTGGACCCTTAAAAAAAAAGAAAAGAAATTAAATGATATGTTGCATTGGACAAATCTGCTGCAAAAGACCTCTTTAAAATGTTAAAATGCAAAATTATCATGTGGAGAACAAAGGTGTGCCTGACCCAAGCCATGGAATTTCCAATCACCTCGTATGCATGTGACAGCTAGACAATGAATAAGGAAGACAGAAGAATTGATGCATTTGAAATTGGGTGTTGGCAAAGAATATTCAATATTACTATGGACTGCCAGAAGAACGAACAAATCTGTCTTGAAAGAAGTAAAGCCAGAATGCTCCTAGAAGTGAGGATGGCAAAACTTTGTCTCACGTACTTTGGACGTGTTATCAGGAGAGACCAGTCTCTGGAGAAGGGCATCATGCTTGGTAAAAGTAGAGGGTCAGCAAAGAAGAGGAAGCCCCACAATGTCTCGGTTCTCTAGTACTGCTATAAAAGAAATACTACAAGAAGACACCTTCAACAAACTATTAAAAAAAAAAAAATTTCACTGCTGTCAAGTTGGATCTGACTCATAGCGACCCTTCCTTGGGTTTCCAAAGCAGTATCACTCTGGAAGTAGATTGCCCAATCTTCCTTCCAAGGATTGGCTGGTGGGTTTGAACCACGAGACTTCCAGTTAGCAGTCAGATGCCTTAGGTACTACACCACCAGAGCTCTTAACAGGAGTTTATTCTCCTACAGTTGAGGAGGCTAGAAGTCCTAATTCAGAGTGCAGGCTTGTGGTAGTTAAGGTTGTGTGTCAACTTGGCTGGGCCTGGTTGATTAACTGGGCAGCTGGTGGTTGTTACTCCACATGATAAGATTGGCAATCAACTCCATGGTGGGATCTACCACAAGCAGCTGAGTAGCTGTAGTAGTAGTGTTCTGCTCCCCGTGTATAGGCAGCAGCTTTGGAAATGGTCTCTAGCTTGGCATGTAGCCAAAATGTCGTTAAGCAGCCTGCCATGCTCTGCCAATCTTGAGACTTTCTATGGACTTGAATGAATGGCCTGCCATGTGGTTTGGTAATAGTGGGACTGTGTCTGGTTACTTGTCAACCTTAGGTTTGTCAGCCTCAGCAGCCAGCAGCTGAGTGAAGAAAAGCCTCTCCAGCTGCAGTGGGCCAGAAGCAGGAGGCAAAGCTGAAGCCCAAGGTTGAGGGGGTTTCACCCAGCCCCAATGAGCCTTGGACATTGAATTCAGATGTAAAGCCACCAAATTGTAAGAATAAACTCCTGTTTGTTCAAGCTGTTCCATTTGTGGTATATTCTTGTCAGTGTGGCACTAGGTAACCAGAACACGGCTCGAAGGCCTGGATGTACGCCTCTCAATCTTGGGCTTCAGCTCTGCCTCTGGTTCCAGGCACACTGGAGCTAGAGGCATCTCCTAACTCAGGAAGCTGCAGATTGCTGAGGCTGATGAACCCAAGGTCTGCAGGTAAAATGGCCCAGTCACAGCAGACCATTTGTTCAAGTCCAGGAACAATTCCAAGATTGGCAGGCAACAAGGCAGGCCACTGGTTCAAGTCCACAGAGATGAAGACTCAGCTAAACGCAGGATCTAAATTGTGCCGAAAGGTAAGGGACCTTTCTCAAAGCTTCTTGCTATATACTGGAAGTAGGCCACACCTCAAAGGCAGTTCCCTTTCCACTGATTAACATCTCTCAGCAGATTCCACTGTGGAGATGATTACAATCTCATCATGGGGAATAACTATTTCCAACCTGCCAAGCCACTCAAAACCACAACCCAGCCAAATTGACACACAACCTTAATTGCCACAGATGGATTAACACAGTGGCTGCAACAATGGGCTCAAACATAGCAGCAATTGTGAGGCTGGCATAAGACAAGTGTAGTGTAGTGAATTAATTGATATGGCTATTCTAGCTAGTCTTTGTGACTCCCACCAGATTACTGAGTGGGACCATGCAAATAAGGTGTATAGAACTCTAATGTAGGGATTGGTTAGTTTTGTCATTCTGCTAGGCTTAAAATGAGCCTTCCGAGAGGCAGAAGGAGCTCTAGTAGGGTAGTGTAAGGCACTTGACTGCTAACCAGAAGGCTGGAGGTTCAAACCCACCAGCCACTCCTCGGAAGGTTGAGCAATCTACTTCCGTAGTGATACTGCCTTGGAAACCCAAAGAGGGGTCACTATGAGTTGGGCCTGACTTGACAGCACATAACAACAACAACAATAACAGAGGCAGAAGGTGGGGATCTCACTACCATCAAGAGAGAAGAGCCAGAGGTGGTGTGGAACGTGTCCTAGAACCCAAGATCCCCACACTGTACCTCCTTGGCAGAGATATGGCAGAGACTAACAGCTGAGGTGAAAAGCTGAGATGACTGCAGAGGAACCAAGAGGCACAAGATAGACCTGTGGGCTTGCCAGCCCATGATGCAAGAAAACAAAAAAGGAGTCTTGCTGGTGGAGTGAGCTGCACCTATCAGCAGAGCTAAAAGGGCTTTGTAACACTTGCCCAGAAGGGCAGAGACCAGGCCAGAGGCCAGGGGCCAGAAAGATGTGCCTGAGGGCATAGCAGAGGGGAGACTATCCTCATGGAAGAATCGTATCCTGAGAGCATTCCTGAACCTGAATTGTAGCCTATTACTTCCCTAATAAACCCCATAATCATGAGTATTGTCTGTGAGTTCAACAAATTGTCGAATCCAGTAGGGTAGTAAGTGCCACAGAAGGGACAGTTGATATCACAGTTGGTAAAAAGGCTGGAGGGTGGTAGTATATCTGGCCTCGTAGAAATAAGCCTTTGGCTGCTGAGGGTGATTGTATTTCCCCTTCATGATACTGGAGGAGATCAAAAGATGCCACCTCCATGTCCTTTTTGCAACCAGGCACTGTTTTGTTCTGTTGTGCATAGGACCATTGTGAGCTAGAACCAACAACAAAAGGAGAAGACTTCAAGGACTTGAAGATCCTGGCCACTTGGGCCTGTTTCCAGTCTTACGTTGAAGGCCCTGGTTTATATTTTTTAAAATGAAGCTAGGTGCTTAAGTTTAATAGCTAGTTCAATTAGCATAAAGACAACTGAAAAATAAGATACTGGATAGTCCATATTCTTCAAATATACCCAAGGATAAAACAGGACTGCCTTTCTTGGCATTTGTGTGGTTGGGTGGGGCTTATGACTAATTGGATCCAATGAGTTGTGAACAAAAGTGATGTGAGTCATTTTAATTAGCATAGCTCTCTCCCTCTGGCTTAGCTACTAGTTAGCCTGGGTCCTAGGCATTAGTGAATTGAAATGGACTGGTTTGGGCCATTTTGAATCAGACAACCATATGATCTACTATACCAGGAATGACAAATTGAAGAGGAGTTATGTGGCATTCATCATCACAAAGAATGTTTCAAGATCTATCCTTAAGTACAATGTTGTCAGGAATAGGATAATATCCATATGCCAACAAGGAAGACCAGTTAATACTACTATTATTCAAATGAATGCACCAACCACCAAAGCCAAAGATGAGGAAACTGAAGATTTCTACCAACTTCTACAGTCTGAAATTGACCAAACATGCAATCAAGATGTGTTGTCACTGGTGACTGGAATGCAAAAGTTGGGAACAAAGAATCACTGGTAGTTGGAAAATACGGCCTTGGTGGTAAGAAGAACTCTGGAGATTGCATGATAGAATTCTGCAAGACCAATGACTTATTCATTGCAAATACCTGTTTTCAACAACATAAACAGCAGCTATACGTGTAGACTTCACCAGACAGAGTACACAGGAATCAAATCAACTACATCCACAGAAAGAGGCGATGGAGAAGTTCAATATCTTCAGTCAAAACAAGGCCAGGAGCTGATTGTGGAACAGACCATCAACTGCTCAATGCAAGTTCAAGTTGAAGTTTAAGACAATTAAAACAAGTTCACGAGAGCCAAAATATAACCTTGATTATATCCCTCCTAAATTTAGAGACTATCAAAGAATAGATTTGATGCATTGAACACTAATGACCGAAAATCAGAGGAATTGTGGGATGACATCAAGAACAACATACATGAAGAAAGCAAAAGTTCATTAAAAAGACATGAAAGGAAGAAAATACCAAATTTGATGTCAGAAGAGACTCTGAAACTTGCCCTTGAAAAAAGAGTAGCGAAATCAAATGGAAGAAATTACAAAAGAGCTGAACAGAAGATTTCAAAGAGCAACTCAAGAAGACTAAGCCAATTATTATAATGAAATGTGCAAAGACCTGGTGTTAGAAAAACAAAAGGGAAGAACACACTCAGCATTTCTCAAGCTGAAAGAACTGAGGAGAAAATTTAAGCCTCGAGTTGTAATACTGAAAGATTCTATGGGCAAAATATTGACTGATGCAGGAAACATCAAAAGAAGATGGAAGGAATACACAGAGTCACTGTACCAAAAAGAATTGGTCAATGTTCATCCATTTCAGGAGGTGGCATATGATCAAGAACCAATGGTATTGAAGGAAAAAGTCGAGGCTGCACTGAAGGAATTGCTGAAAAACAAGGCTCCAAGAATTGACGGAATATCCATTAAGATGTTTCAACAAATGGATGCTGTGCTGGAGGCACTCAC